GGGGTTGGAGCTTCGTGATCCTTGAGGTCCCTTCCAACCCTGGCCATTCTGTGATTCTGTCATTCTGTGATTCTGTGTTTCTGTGATTCTGTGAAGTCCTCTAAGATCATCTAGTCCAACCATCCACCTGCCACCAGTATTGCTCACTAAACCATGTCCCTCAGTATCATGTCTATGTGTTTCCTGAACCCCTCCAGGTAGGGTGATTCCCCCACCTCCCTGGGCAGTCTGTCCCACTGCCCAACCACTCTTTCAGAGAAGATTTTCCTAGATCAAGTTCTATTGGGTTTTACATTGGCTATCTCATGGCTGGTTGCCACAGACGTTTTTCAGGACTCACTTTTCATCCCCACCTGCCTGAGTAGACTTAAGCATTTGGGTGCCCCACATCAACAGATCCACGTCTTCCTGGTAGTGTTCAAGACATCACCCAGGGCTCTGGGCAACCTGCCCTAGTATCATATCTGGAGGTTGGTGGCCCTGCCTGTGGTAGGGGGGCTGGAACTCGATGATCCCGGGGGTCCCTTTCAACCCAAACCGCTGTGTGATTCTATTAAATGATTCTTTGAAGTTAGCAGCTAAATCTTGTGACTTGAGGACAAAGATCCTATAGAGAGCTGGCGGGCTCTCCAGCAGGTTTGTGGGCACTCAGCCTTTTCAGGCTCTGTTTAGTCAGCATAAGGCACAAGGAATTTGAATACAAGCAGTGTTTTTTTTCCTTTTGTGGGCATACCTGGGATTGAGCTTGCCAGAGCAAGTGCTGAGGTTTCCTGGGGCACAGTGCTGAGATTGCACAGGATCATAACAGAAACTGGGGTCTCCCAGCCATGTATGGATGGGTTGGGAAGGCAGCAGAGTTTACCTGTCCTCAGGCTCCATTTCTGTTCTTTATAGAAGATGAGTGGATTTTAATGAAGGTTACACTCTCAGAAGCATCAAAATATCTTGAGGGAAAGCCTTGTGATAGACAGCTGTAATGCAGGGAGCGGAATTGGGAAGGAGCATGCTCCCACTTAGCAGTGCATGCCTGCGGGCAGGTATGGGCTGCTGGGGCAGAGACACCCCTGGGCAGCTGTGAGTCAGCCCAGCTCCTCCCACGGCATCTTCACTCATCATCATCTTCACTCAGGTGGGTATTTATAGCACGGGTAGGAGTAGGAGAGAAATCAAAGAACAGCTTCCCATAAAGACACATAAATCACTCCAAGAGTTCAGCTCTGGGGTGCTGCGTGACCTGCTTTAACGAGAAAAAGAATAAAAGCACCATTGTTATTAGTAATATATATTTTTTAAATATTATTTCGTCGGGCTGCTGTTTGAATTAGAACCATCTTTGGGCAGGGAGATTTTTTTCCATGCAGTTCTCCCAGCTTTCAGAGCTACCCCAGCAGGCTGCTAAGGACGTGATGCCTCACACGGGAGAAAACCTTTTCTCCAGCACAGCTCTGCTGAAAAACAATTCAGACAGTCTGCCCAGACCGCTGCTTGCCATCCGAGCTGTCGGGAGACCTCCAGGCCTTCCAACAAAACGGAACAGGAAAGCCAGGAGGGTGCTGTACCCAGCACGGGTGAGAAAATATTTACCACGCCCGAAGAAAGACGTGGCCAAGAGGTGGCTGCTTGTGTGTGCTGGCATCGTCCTCCTGCAGGTGCTAACTGAGGAGCCTGAGCAAGAGGGACTGGCAGGAGCAAAGGTTCCTAAGGAGCAGCTCTGCACACTGCATGCACAGCTCAGGGCTGCACGGCTCAGAGATGCAGAGAACCGCTCCAGAGAAGACAGAGCTGCTCCAGAGGCCCCGGCAATCATTCTCTCATCAGCTTACGGGCACCAACCTCTCGTGAAAACCACAGATGTGCCACGACAAGCTGGGAGACAGCTGCACGCCTTCTGCAGGCAGTGCCTGGCTGGTTTATCCCATGCAGAGCACTGAGCTGCAGTGAGGAGCTGGCCTGCTCCTGCTCCTGCCCATCGCTGCTGCAGCGCTGCCAGCCGCACTGTGAACTGCTGCACTCCTCCGAGGGGACACGAGGACTCTGGATGGTGACACGGGGCTGCTGGTGGCCAGGGAGGCACTGAAGACAGCCCAGGGCTGCAGTGAGGACTGTGCACATTTCAATGCTGATCCAAGCTGGGAGTTGGACTCAATAATCTTTATGGTTCCCTTCCAACTCGGGATATGCCGTCATTGATTTTGTGATTTGGGATTTGGGATCGCGTTGCCATGAACTGTAACAGAAGGCTGTGGGCACAGCCCTGCGTCGGGTCTGTACTGCACTAACCTTCCTGTGCCTGCTGTGTAACCCCCTTCTGTGCCTCTGTTTGCATGCTGTAGTGTGCTGTCAGTTCTCACAGATCACAGCTCAGCTCTTGGAGCTACGAGAGCACAAAATGTGACCTTTTTTCTCCTCTGTAGGAATAAAGCTGCTGGGATCAGACTTCCACAGTGTGCATCAACCGAAACTCCTGAGCTAAGGTTTGCTGTCCTGTTGTGTGCCCAGATCTGCTGGTTGTCCTGGGGAAATAAAATCACCCAACCAGCAAGAAAGGAGGAGGTGGGGGAAGGGTGGGAGGGGGGTTGGAGCCACAGTGGTGCTGAGGCACAGACTTGCTGGTGCCAGCAGAGGGAGAGAAGTTCACGGGCCTGGGTCACAAGAGCTGCAGCACCGGGGTGAGATGGCTTGGGAGAGAGCGAGGCCATCACAAAAGCAAACCAAGGGATGTGATGGGAAAGAGCTGTTAGAAGGGGAAGTTGAGCCAGAGGTCACCAGAGGGCCTTTATAACTTCCACTGTTTCCACGTTTATTATGGGAATGTAGAATGCTTTGCGGCTCTGAAGTGTGAAAGATGGGATCACAGGCTGGTCCAGGGCATCGTGACCTGTGAATGTGATGGCATCTGGCTCTGCACAGCAGGGTGCAGCTCAGGGTGGGGCTGCTGCCTCCCAGACATGGACAGGGTCCTTGCATTAGGAATAAAGGCATCAGGCTCAGGACCTGCTCCCTGTCCAGCTATAGGGCCCACTGCAGAGAGATTCCAGTGGCTCCTTGCTGGAAATACCAAGCCCAGGACTTTCAGTGGATATGGTTCTGTGTCTCCTGGGTTATCACTCATCCCCTGGGGCTAAGGGTACAGCTTCCTTAATTATACACCTCCAAGTCTGAGTAAATAAAGGCTGGGTTTCCCCAGCCATGCACTCTGCAAGCCTGTCCTGGAGCCCAGGCATAGGGAGAGGTCCCCTGGACACCTTCCCCAAGCCATGGTCCGTGCTCCTGCCATACATGTATTGCATGTCAGGGCTTCTCTTATGAGGGTCAGTCCCGAAAGGCCACAGTATGGCTTTGCAGCCCCAGCTTTGCCCCTTGGGGCCTCCATCCCCAAATCCCAGCCTGCTGAACAGCTTCCATGTTTTGCTGCTTAGCACAAGGCTGTATCCAGATGGATTTCCCCAGGCACGGAAAGTCCACCAACTCCTTGGTCAACTTCCTCCAATTGCTTGGGATTTAATTCGTCTGATTTCCATGACAGACAGCTGGTGTGACTCACCTGTCTCAGAAACCAACAGCAACTGGTTCCTTAAGCTCTGATAAGAACAGAATTCAAATGTTTTTGTAATGACCGCAGGTGACCCAGGAGTGGAAGGAAGCTGGATTGCACACACAGCATTGCAGAAGAGGTGTGGAAAAGCCCAGAGGGGCACTGCAGGCCGAAACACCA